ATGTGTTCAGACCTGTAAGATTAGGAGGATGAAGTACGTCTTCTTAATAGTTCTTTTGAAAAATTGCATATGCAGGTGCAAGAATAAAGAGGACTACCTATATGAGCATGAAGTTTAGCCGCTTCAAGAAGTAGAGACTTCACTTCGATATGCTTATGAAGGATTAGGACACAAGGCTAGTAAATAATAGTGTCAAGTTAGAACATTAAAGTATGTAAACTTTTGTGTATATTATCTTCATGTATTCAAAATGGATAGCAAGGGTTCACTCCGTAGTGATACCCTGATATTCGAATATTTGAAATGTGTAATGTACTAAGATGAAATTCAATCGTCACGATATTTCATTTATGCATAAGTTTGTTGTTTGCTGCGAATTTGTTTAGTTAATCAAGGTTTACACTAAAATATGTACTTCATGTTATATATTTTAGTGTAATTGGAAAAACTACGACCAATGGTATCCTAATAATCATCAAAGAAGTTTGGTGGTGCGGAGTGCACGCTTCATTGAGTTTGTTACGATAAAAAACCCGTTACACCGGGGGTTCCAAGGGGGCAGCGCCCCATTGGCGGGGGTTCGGGGGCAGCGCCCCCGAGCAGGGTTCAAGGGGCGGCAGCCCCTGCGGGGTCCAAGGGGCAGAGCCCCTGGCTGGGAGCTCGAAAATTTTTTATTTTGGGCTCGGTGCTATGTTAAAAAATTCAATTAGAATTTTAATTTCGAATTTTCTTAAAAAGAAAAATTCGATGGATAGGACCGAATTTTGAAGAAGAAAACTTCCGCGCGAAGAGTTGCGTGCTTTGGGTAATAGCCGCGAATGGTGTCTTCTCCTTCTCACCCCTAGTCTATAAAATCACCCTGGACATGGTCGAATTCGTTCGGTTTTAACACAGCAATTCTCATATTTCGTTCTTGATACTTTCGAGTTTTATCCGATTGAATTTTGGAGTGAACAACCAAAATATTCAATCTGAAAGTGTTTACACAACTCTCGATTCATCCAAGTTATCGTTAATTTCTCCAACACTTCATTTATAAACCACACAAATATAGACATCATGTGTCTCAAAAATCAATCACACTATTTTGGTGTGCAAACGTTACCGTATTTTGGTGTACCGGTCATTTTTTTATATTAAGAAAACAGGTTGTTTAATTTTGAACAAATGAAAATAAAAAAAATAAAATTATGGTTGGAGTATACAACTAGAACTAGGAATCTCGTAGGAAGTGTGTTCTTTTTTTTGAGGAAAATGTAAATAGAAAGAGAATAAGAATATACAAATAGAACGGGCATACCCGAGCTAGGAATGGGAGCAACCCTTCCACTACATCAAGCACCTCAACGGGACACCCTCATACATAAAATGGGAAAACCAACCCCAAAACCAAGGCACGCAGGCTAACCCAAACTAAAAAGTAAGATAAACATTTGGCCACACACGGCCTAAAACACAATAAACCATAGTCTTGATATTACAAATCACACCATCAATATTAAGAGGCTTGCGCTCAAAATGGAAGGCATTACGCTGTTTCCAGATTAGGAATACGGTGCAAGCCAACCCTATCCTCCGTGCCTTCTTCAAGATAGGATCTCCTCGTCTAGCCGTCCTCAACCACCTGATGGCTCTGTCCAAGGTTGTCAGTTGGGCATCAATCCGTAGCCAATGCCTAATGGCTCCCCAGATTTGCTTTGACACACAGCATCCAAAGAAGAGGTGGCTAATGTCCTCGACTCCATCTCCACAAAGCTCACACTCCATAGGAAGACCAAGGAATTCCAAATTGGTCTTGGTAGGAAGTCTCCCCCTAAGCGCTAGCCACATCGTAAAGGAGCACTTAGGAGGAATTGGAGAATGCCATATGAAAGCCATCCAAGGCTTGGGATTGGACTTGTCCCTAAGAAAATCATAAACCTTACTTGGACAGAGATTATCGCCAATACAAAACTGTTGCATAGCCACTTCCAAAGAGGAATTATGGTCACCAAGCTTTTGTACCAAAAGCTCTCGCACATAGGCAAGCCTTTTAAAGAAGACAGAGTGTCTCTTCCTGGGCTGCCACACCCACATACATTCATTGCGCAAATAAACAGTGTGAACCCAAATCACCCAAAGTGAATCCTTTTTCGCAGCAATGTTCCATAAGGCTTTACACAGAAGAGCATTATTCCAGGTTTCAGCATCCCTCAAGCCTAGACCCCCTTCATTTCTGGGTTTACAAATGTCAACCCATGCCACTTTAGCAAACTTGCTGCCCCACAGGAAGTCTCTGCATAGAGTAGTAATACGGTTAAGCACAGTCTTCTGAACTGGGAAGGCTTGGAGCCAAAATGATTCCACCCCCTGAATCACTGCTCTAATCAGCTCAAGTTTGCCAGCATAAGAAATTTTCAAGGTACTCCATTTCCCAAGGAACGTGTCAATTTTCATGAAGAGTGGTGCATAATCAGATCCTGAAATACGATGGGAGGCTAAGGGCAGCCCCAGATACCTGACAGGAAGTTCACCTCTAGGGAAGTTAGCCAATTGGAGGATATCCTGACTAGCATCCCTATACTTTCCAGCAACAAAAATATTAGATTTAGTTGGGTTGAGGCATAATCCAGACACCTTGGAGAAATGATCTAGGGCATCCATCATAACCTTAACAGAAGAGAAATCCCCTCTAGCAAATAGCATAATGTCATCTGCAAAAGCCAAGTGGGATATACCCAACTCTGAGCAATTCTTATGAAAATGAAAGGGTCCTTCCTTGGTTTTGGTGTTGAGCAACCTGGACAGGTACTCAATGCAGAAAATGAACAGAGTAGGAGCCATAGGGTCACCCTGCCGAAGGCCACGCTTGCTCTTAAAGAACCCATGTATGTTCCCATTAACAGAGATAGAGGATGAAGCTGAAGTGATGCATTCCATGATGAGGCCAACAAATTTGAGAGGAAAACCAAGTCCAAGCATAACCTTCTCGTTCTTTGTTATAAATTACATCGAATTGGCCTCTTCCTTTTCTGTGTATATGACTCAACCAACCTGCCGTCTGGGATTCTGCATCAAATTAGCATCTTCTTCTTCTTCTTCTCCATCGCACTGTAAGTAACAACTAACTAACCTCTCTTCTTCCCCAATTTCGTACACAGACCTTTTATGTATTAATTCTCTGTTTTATTCATGGATCCTATCCTTTTCCCTCTTAATTCGTTCGAGCATTTTTGTTGCTGTTACCCGCGAAAAAATTAATCTCCTTGTCTGTTTTACACCTTTTCCCCTTTTCATACACAGATCTGCAGCTTTTATGTATTATTTATCTTTGATATTCATGTTTTCTCCTTTTAATTCCTTCGACCTTTTATGTTTCTGTTACCGGAAAAAATCTCTTCTTTCCAACTTATTTTCAGTTAATTAATTTCTCTGAAGGCTTGGAGTTTGAAATTGTGTTGGAAGGGTTAGGTTAATTGGACGTTTTCATGAAATTTAGTGTGATTGACCAAATGATATAACTAAATTCGATCTTCTTCTTCTTCTTTTTTTTGCAAAGGTAAAAATATAAATGAGAGGTGTAATTGATTCATCTGTGATGGTGATCCAGCGCACCACTGCATGGGTTTCTTCACATCTCTTGTGTTTCCTTGTATGCCCAAACAAAGGCTTTGGGTTTGGTCCCTTCCCAGATGATATCCTAATCAACATTTTGAGCAGACTGCCTGCTGACGCTGTTCTACGGTGTCGCAAGGTGTGTAGGCATTGGAGGTCTCTCACCTCATCGACTGATTTCATCGCGCTGCAGAACCAAAGAGCTCCCTCCGTCCTTCTTGTGCACCAACACCAATCTTCTGATGCCATTTACATGAGGAGCCGTTACTATGTGTACGATGCACCTGCCAAAAAATTGAGACGGATTTCTTTCAAGTCTAAGTTCGGCTTTGAGGGTCGCGCCAAACAGTTCACTCGAGTTTCTTTGAGCGGTGCTTGCGGTCCCTTGCTTCATTACAGGGTTCACGGAAACTACAACGGGTGGTGGGGGATACACAACTTTGCTTTCAACCTCTTCACTCGACAACTAGGAGCTTTGAAAATGAGAGGGGACGGGTACAAGGGTGTGTGTGGCATGTTCTTCAATGAGCCGAGAAACAAGTACAATTATCTATACATGCTTCGGAATTCCAAGGAGAGTTTTCGGTTTTATGTGTACTCTTTGGACTCCCGCACTGATGAAGAGATTGCGTGTAGCTCTTTCTTATGCCAGTTGTGCTCGGGTAGGAGCCCAGTCGTTGTGAACCGGGCTCTGTATTTGATGGTGTATCCATTTGGGGCGGACAAAGACGATTGCAAGCACGCGGTGCTCGTGTTTGAGATGGACTCTGGGAACTTCCACACTTTGCCTCATCCAGAATTTGAATGCCCGCGCACGGAATTGCATCATATTGACATGCACTTGTTTGTTCATGATGGCCATTTGTGTATGTGCCATAGTGACCTGGTCCGGGGGCACCTGGACTTGTGGATTCTGGAGGATTATGCAAATTGGCATTGGGTCCCTTTGGCTTCCACAATTACTCTCCCTGTCTTGGAAGATCCTTCCATCCCCTACGAGATCTATAGCGTGCGGAACGATGAGTTGTTGGTGTTTTGGTATCCATCTTTGTATATTGTCAACTTGAAGGATGTGGAGACTGTTGAAGAAATCAAAATTCCGCGTTTGGATTCAGAATGTTGTGTGGAATTGGTTGTTTACAAGAGCACACTTGTGGCTCCACCTCTAGTTTGGGACGAAAGCAAACCTCCGCTCTTCCGTCTCTAATAAGTGTACTACCATGCACTCACCCTCTTATCCTTTGAATTATGCTACTATGAATTAGAGCATCAACTCTTCGCTTGATGTAATTGTATGTGATTTTATTTTATTAAGGTCTATCGGATCTAATAAGTAAGAAGAATAACTAATAAATTGGGGGAACATAAGTAAGAAGAAAAAGTAGAAGAACACAACGTATGCGAATTTTATTAGGGGGAACATTTGTTACTTATTCTTATTGGAATCAAATCTTATTGGATTTCAATAAAAATAAGTAACAAGTAAAAAGAATAAATTGGAGAGAACATGATCTTAGTAGGAAAGCATTTTCAGTTTTATAGTGAATTATGAGCAGTACACTAATTCATGTGCTCTTTCATGTGAGCATTAGTTTTAGTTGTTGTGACTTGAATATAAGCTTTTGATATGTTGTGTTTCTTCTTCTAATGTACTATCTTCATTCCGGTTTGAATCTTCAAATGTTGTCCATGAGGCTTTACTTAAGTTATTTTCAATTAAATTTTGTTGGAAATTAGATTGGAATTTAAAAATAAAACTTTATAAAAAAAAAATTACAAAATAAGAAGTGAGAAGATATACTCTGTATTATTTTTTTAAAAAATAAATAACAAAAATAGATAAAGACATGACTAGAGTTTGATCTTGTGTACAACTTTATTTGGGTGGAGGATTATAAACTATGAAGTGATTTCTGTGTCTTTGGCAAACATGATTCACAGCGCCCAACCCAGGCATTTACATTTTTACATTACTACCAGAAAAAGTTTCCAAATTAAAAGTAATATTACTACAAATAATTAACAGCAGTTAATAGGGGAAATGTCAATTTATTCTTCTTCCTTCATGTTATGCATAAGCAGCACGCCAGCACCCCTGTACCTAAACTATACATATAGCCCTATGGATCGGAGGATTGGAGGGGATTTGGTAGGAGAAGATGAAGATCTTTTCAGGTCTTTCTTCCTCATGGCTTAACCATTATCGTTCTATCTCTATCAAACTATACACACGTAGTGATTACACTTTTATTTTTTATAAATAATTACCTGTGTCGATTAAATTTAAATTCTACCTGATTATCATTTATTAAATAATAATATGGAGTACAAAATAATACAGAGAAAATTAATTTTGTTATTATTATTATTTCATTATTATTATTATTTCCATTATTAACTTTTTTTTAAATATTTGTTCCCCTTTTTTACTTTATAAAATATTAATGCACAAAAAAGACAATTGATTAAAAAAACACATATAGTACATGAATAAGAAAAGTATGCGCATGCATTACTTAAAATTAGAGAAAAATAAACCATCATAGGAAAACATTAAGAAAAAAACATGATAGGAAACTGGAAATTAAAACAAATTTTTGGAACTAAAAATATAGAACTTATATTTCATACATTTTTATATTTTACTCATAGTTTAATATTTTTCTCTAAAAATATTTTGACTTTCAAATTTTTTTATAAAAATTTGGTAATTTTTTTCACATATCAATTTAGAAGAGTTTGAATCGTAGAACTAGTGACATGGAAAACGTAAAAAACCAAAATAGTTTATAAACTATAGTTATGATCGAACATAATGATTGTAGTAATAATAATAAAGGTAATACTAATAGCAATTATTATTTTTATTATTATAATGATAATAATAATAATAATCACTTTAAAAATACATCCTTTTTAGAGTTATTGTTTTGGAAGCCGAAAGAGTTTGAAGTATAAATAGAATAGTTGGAAAACAAATGAAGAATAAATTAAGAATTTAAGCTTTAAAGATAAGCTCTTGCCCCAAGCAATTCCACTTCACTCAATTTTTGATCAGGTACAGATTGAATGTATGGAGTAGGGAAAAAGACTAAAACATGAGTAAAATATTAAAAATATACTCAAATATGAAAATTCATTCTGTAAAACTAAAATATTGATTTTCGTAAAAATTATATTTTTACGAGACTCCGTCCTATATTGTTTTGTACCACTAAACAAATATGCTGAGCGTACAGTATTTTTGGTTTTTACTTTTTACTGTGCGTAGGTGATGTAGCTGGAACAAGTAGAAGTGCAGGACATGACAATTAAATCCGTTTAAATAAATACGGTTATGTGCTTATTTTATTTTTAATTACTCAATGTATTGATCCTATTTTTTTAATGTCAACGTAATTTTAAATTTTATTTTTAATGCAATATTTATTTAACGATTTTCTTTTAAATTACTTTCATTTAAATATACTTAAAAAACGAAACATGATGGGCATAATCCGATGCTAGTGATGAATAGTGATGTAACTGTGATAAAAATGAACTAACGTCGCACTTACTGAAATGATGTCATTGGTTTATTCCACCATATATACCTAATGGTCCGAGGAGATCTTTTTTCACGCTGGAATTACGGATCACAACAGGTTGGATTCGGGTCACACTGTACTATACTCGAATCTGACTGATTTTTAAAGCTGAAACCAACCCGAAACCTGTCTTTTTAAGCCAAAACCCCTAACCTAGCCTGAATTCGACATTTTAAATCAAAACTCGAACTTGAACTCGAACCCGTAATTTAATTAATATTCAATTCGACGTATTCTAATAATTTTAAACAAATTAAATCTATTTTTTTTGTGTTTTTTTTGTGCCTCACGTTTTATTAAGAAATTATAAAAATAACTAAAAAAAGGTATACTTAATATTGTAACACCTTGTTAAGAGATTATACATAGTGCTCATTATATCTATACATAGGCTTTTGTGTTATAAAGCATTCGGTTTTAAGTTGGGTCGGGTGCAGGTTGAGGCCGGATCGGATAAATAATAAACTCACACCCGACCGACCCGACCCGATCTCAGGTTCAAATAAAAAATGAGGAATTTACTTAAATAATACTAAAACATAATTATTTTCCCTAAATAGCATTACATATGTTTTTCTTTTCAATGTAGCACTTTTAGTCATATGCATTAATCATTATTCAAGCAAATATTCATCATCATTGGACATTATGGACATTATTAACTGCTATTTAAAGAATAAAATAATTTAAGTGCTATTTAAGGAAATTACTTAAGTTTTGGTGCTATTTAGTGCAAATACTCCGAAGTATTTCATAAGAATTTTTAGGTCAAGTTCAAATTATTTTATTTTAGATTTGGATTCAGATATTTTAGTAGCTGGTCAGATCAGCTATAAATGATCGGTTCGAGTTGGATTGATATCCTAACTCCTATGCGTCGTTCTGTAGCGGACCAGCGGCTCTAAAATTGGGATTGACCAAGAACAAGAGCAATAAAGGGGATTTGGGGTAAACACTCATAATTTTTAAAAAGAGTAAATTCCATAAAAGGTCCCTAGTTATAGGTCGTTTTACATATTTAGTCCCTACATATCAAATATTACTAATTTAGTCCTCAATTATTATATTCATTTCCACGAATGGTCCTTTGTTAACATTTTCGTTAAGAACGTGGATAAAATTTCAAATTCACACTCCTTTCTCTCCTCAATTAAGCTTCTTCCTCTCTTGCACTCCTTTCCCAAACTCGCTACTGAGTTTCTAGCTTTGAACTCTAAACCAAAATCATCACTCTTCTCTCAATTGTTTGTATAAATGGAGGAACAATCATTTAAGTTTTGGGTTTAAGAGCTTCAAACTCAGCGACGAGTTTGAGAAAGAGTATGAAAAGATGGAGGAAGCTTAATTGAGGAGAGAGAGAAGTATGAATAAACAATTTTGTCCACGTTTTTTAACGCAAATCTTAACAAAGGACCATTCGTGGAAATAAATATAATAATTGGGGACTAAATTAGTAATATTTGATATGTAGGGACTAAATATGTAAAACGACCTATAACTGGGGACCTTTTATGGAATTTACTCTTTTAAAAAACTACGTGAAATCACAAAAACAAATTTATGCGCAATTAAATAATTAAATAATTAATGAAAAATACTAAAAAAAAACACTCCCTATGATTTAGGTCTCTACTTCAAATGTTTACTTTCACATTTTATTCTCATAATTTTAAATATTTTACTTTTAAATTCGTTGGATTCAAATTTTATTATATTCTTGTAATTTTAAATATTATATTTTTACGTTAAATATTTATTTTTGGTACTTGAGTTTTTTTACTTGGGGCAATTTAAATTTTTATAAGAATTTAAAGTATTAATTACATTGTGTAATTAGCTCGGTTTCTTTAGAGCACTGGAAATACCCATGAAGTCCCGGGACTTCAAACCGGAGCTTCAAAATATTTATCTCTGCCACGTTAGCTTTAACTTACCTCACAAATTCAGTGGAAATGGATTTGAAGCTCCGGAGCTTCAAACCTTCATTTTTTACATTTTTAAATATACATCTTCTAAAACTAAATTAATAAAATTTAATTATTTTATTATTTAATTATATTGAAGCAAGAATAATTAAAAAGTACATTCATTAAATTTAAAGAAATTGAAATGACAATAATTTTAAAAAATTACATTCATTAAATTAAAAAAAAAGAAAGCGAGATTAAATTTAAACGAAAATAATTCATTAAATGAAAATAATTAACTTCTATAAAAAAGAACTTTTAATTAAAAAATTACATTAATTAAAAACTTAAAACAAATTATATTTAGTTTTGATCTCGGTATGTCTTCTCTTGGAAGCAAATTATATTTGTTTGGTCGTTTGACTCGAGACCGGACAAAGCTAATGAACATTAAAAATGAAGAGATTCAAGTTAAAAAAGACGAAAAAATTGAATATTTTTCAAATTTGAAGAAGATAGAGGAAAAGATTTTGTGGGTGTTTAATTTAAAAAAAATTGAAGAAGAAAGATTTTGTTTGTGAGTTTTATTTTCAAAAATAAAAAATTGAAGAGGAAAATATTGTGTGGGTGTTTAGAGGAAGAGTTTTTTAATTTGAAGAAGATAGGACAAAACGCTCGTTATAAGTTTAACACAATCAAAATAGTGCCCGAATGAAGCCCAGGGGGGCGGTGTTTAATGCCCGTGGAGTGTTAAAAATGCAATGACATCTCACACCACTGGGCGTTACATGCATTACCACTGCCCTTATTATGTCTATGTCATTTACGAGTATTTGATTTATTTAACCGCAACACTTTTTAAAATATTGATCTA